TATCCAGTTAGACTAGCGTAAATTTTTGATTGGCAAAGTTCATAGAAAGTTTGCAGTGGTGGCAAACTGAGCCAATATTCACTTCGAACGGCTTTTATTTTTCATTTTATCATTGCCTTGGATGGATAAAAACATCATGGTTGACGTATTAATATCTTGACAGGCTTCAGGCAGATTTTAACTTAAATTACTTTAAAAATTCCTATTTGCAGTTTTAAAATTCGTGTTTAATTAACATCAGCTTCAGCTAGCTCAGTTGTCCAAACTTCAAGCAGATTGACATTCGAGAGTTAAACTTGCAGAAGAGCAGACTTTTAAGACAATTCTTGGTTCCAGAACTTTTGACTTTTAATTTCGAGGAAAAGTTCGATCATTAAAAAGTGCTGTTAAATTCTCCGCGTTTACTCTTTTTATTTATCCATTGCTGATTTTGTTTAAGGACACTTACTTGTGTTAGAGTTAGAAATGCATCGAGTTTGGAGAGATAGTTCTTATTTTGTGATTAGCAGAAATACTTCACTTTAAACTTTGGATTTGAATAATATCTTTACTAATTTTCCTGTTGCTTTTTATATTTCATATCGTTTATTTTTATTGGAGAGCAAATATTTTTCCAGATTTGATGAAAATCATGGAATATTAAAGATCTTAGAAGTTTGTAATACATTAAGTTTTCAGAACTAGTTCTTTATTTGTGATTCTTCAGTTTTGAGAACTAGTTCTTATATTTGATTACAGGAAGAACTTCAATATCAACTTTTTTTTAAATAATATCATTATTAATTTTCATGAAAAGATTCTATAATTCATCTTGTTCATTTTTATGGGGAACAAATATTTTCCTGATTTGACGAGAATCATAGAATATTTAAGATCATAATTGTTTGTAATATATTCAGTTTTAAGATCTAGTTCTTACTTCGTAACTCGCAGTTTTGAGTATTAGTTCTTACTTTGTGATTCGTAAAATACTTCACTTTAAACTTTGGATTTAAATAATATCATTCCTAATTTTCATTTTGCTTTTTTTACTTCATATCGTCTATTTTTATATGAGCAACAAATATTTTCTCCAGATTTGATGAAAATCATTGTATATAAAGATCTTAAGCATTTGTTCAGTTGTCATTCAGTTTTGAGAACTAGTTCTTACATTTGATTAGCGAAATATACGTCACTTTAAACTTTCATTTAAATACCATCATTAATAATTTTCTTGCTGTTTCTTTATTTCATATCATTCATTTTTGTATGGGGAGAAAATATTTTTCCAGATTTGATAATATGCCATGGATGCTATCGATTATGATTTATTTATTTATCGATTATGATTTATATGTTATTATTTATATATGACATTATAATGACATATAATTTTTTTAAAAAGCAGATAAAATAATCTGTTATATCTGTATATATCTGTTACATTTTTTTAGATCTTTTAAAACTATTTCAATAAAAAATATAGGTATATTTTTGTTTTTGGTGATAATATCACATTGAGATATATCAGGGATTTGTAAATAATAATAAAAAAAGATTTAAAAAATTTAGAGTTCTATCCCCAACGATTTGACGAATATCATATGCACAAATAGTCAATAATTGCCATTTAAAGCAATTAGCCCAAAAGTAATTTTAACGGTGACGCAACGCCAATAACCCAATTAGACTCACGTAAATTTTTGATTGGCGAAGTTCATAGAAAGTTTGCAGTGGTGCGGAAAACTGAGCCAATATTTACTTCGAACGGGCTTTTATTTTCGTTCTATCATTGCCTTGGATGTGATAAAAACATCATGGTTGACGTATTAATATCTTGACAGGCTTCAGGCAGAGTTTAACTTAAATTACTTTAAAAATTCCTATTAGTTTTAAAATTCGTGTTTAATTAACATCAGCTTCAGCTAGCTCAGTTGTCCAAACTTCAAGCAGATTGACATTCGAGAGTTAAACTTGCAGAAGAGCAGACTTTTAAGAGAGTGGGGGAGCAACTTTTGACTTTTAATTTCCCTGGAAAAGTTTGATCATTAAAATTGCTGTTAAATTCTCCGCGTTTACTCTTTTTATTTATCCATTGGATTTTGTTTAAGGACACTTGTGTTAGAGTTCGAAATGCATCGACTTTTGGGAATTAGTTCTTACTTTGTGATTCGCAGAAATACTTCATCTTAAACTTTGGGTTTTTAATAATATCATTGATAATTTTCATGTAGTTTTTTTAAATTTCATATCGTTTATTTTGATGTGGTCAGCAAATATTTTTTCAGATTTGATGAAAATCACGGAATATAAAGATCTTAAAGTTTGTTCAATTTTCATTTAATTTTGAGAACTAGTACTTATATTTGATTAGCGGAAATAAGTCACTTGAAAATATTCATTTAAATAATATCCTTAATAATTTTCATGTTACTTGTTTATTTCATAACGTTCATTTTTATAAGGGGAGCAAATAATTTTTCCAGATTTGATGAACACCATGTTATATTATTGATTACGATATATATATATATATATCCATTACCGATTATCGATTTACATATGATTATTTATACATGATTTTATCGATTATGATTCATACACGATTATTTATATATGACATTATATGTAATTTTTTCTGAAAAAGCAGATAAAATAATACACTATGAGTGTTACGAGAATTAGCATCCTGTCTAATGTTAATAAAAATATTAAATTTTTTTTCAATTTTTATATCTGTTACATTTTTGAGTTCTTTTAAAACTATTTCAATAAAAAGATAAATTATTGTTTACTAATATTATCACATTGAGATACATGAGGGATTTATAAATAATAATAAAAAAAGATTTAAAAAGTTTAGACTTTTTGCTCATCACTATTTAAGGAATATTATATGTACACATAGTCAATAATTAGTGTAGCAATTATCCCCAAAAGTAATTTTGACAGTGACGCAACGGCAATAACCCAATTAGACTAACGTAAATTTTTGACTGGCGAACTTCATAGAAAGTTTGCAGTGGTACGGAAAACTGAGCCAATATTTACTCCGAACGGCTTTTATTTTCGTTTTATCATTGCCTTGGATGTGATAAAAACATCACGGTTGACGTATTAATATCTTGACAGGCTTCATGCATAGTTTAACTTAAATTACTTTAAAAATTCCTATTAGTTCTAAAATTCGTGTTTAATTAACATCAGCTTCAGCTAGCTCAGTTGTCCAAACTTCAAGCCGATTGACATTCGAGAGTTAAACTTGCAGAAGAGTAGACTTTTAAGAGAGCAACTTTTGACTTTTATTTCCAGGAAAAGTTCGATCATTAAAAGTGCTGTTAAATTCTCCGCGTTTACTCTTTTTATTTATCCATTGGATTTTGTTTAAGGACACTTGTGTTAGAGTTCGAATTGCATCGAGTTTTGAGAGCTAGTTCTTATTTTGTTGTGATTCGCAGAAATACTTCAATATAAACTTTGGAAAATAATATCATTAATAATTTTCGTGCTACTTTTTTTTATTTCTTATCTTCGATTTTATATAGGACAAACAAACGCGATTTTCGATCAAAATATCGATTTTACGATTTTAAATTTTTGAAAAGCTTGTATTTTAAGCTTTCTAAATGTTCTTACCTGTTGTCTCTATCCTCTTTAAAATTAAATTTCTGTTAGTTTAAATTTCTCTTGAATGTTTGAACCGGAAATACTATTTTAATAACCGGAAATGATAGTTTCAATATATTTATCATTCAATAATTCCTCAATAGTGACTGAAAAGCTTATTCTAATGAAATAAAAAAAATTTAAATAATGTTTACTTGTTGGCGACACTTTATCTAATAAAGAATCTGGCTGCAATTTTTGTTTGAAAGTCTGTTTACATTAGCTGTTTTATCAAAATCTATATAATAATTGATTTTTTGATTTGTTTTGTTATAGCTTTCATGCTAAACATAATAAAAAAAAATTTAGAAGAAGAAAAGCCAAATTTAAAAGTTTTTAATTTTAATTTGAATAAAATATAGTGGATGAAATGTTTGTAAATCACTGGAACTAGTTAATTTAAAAAGTTTAAAGGGTGCCAACATTTTTAAAGGATATAAGTAGTGAACGGTTATTACAAACACTGACTGTTGTACTTGATTAAGAAATCCATTAGCTTGTGCTCACATTTCATTCTAGAATATAAACAATATAATTTTAAGGAAAAATCATTTTTTGAAAAGTGTGAAATTGAGGCAAATAATGCAATTATTTGATTTAATGATAGCATTAAAAATTTCTAAAATATATTACAAAAGTTACAAGAGGAAAATCAAAGACATTTTATTTTAAAAACTTATGTTACTTGAATAATAAACTTCAGTGATTTGAATAATGTCGAAGAAAACTTCAAGTTGTTAAACAGCATATTTAAGTTTGAAGAAATTTTAAGAAACCAAAACACATAAACAAGTTGCAGAGAAGCAAGTATCGAACTGAAAAATGAAACAAATGGTGTGTTGGATAGATAGGGTAGAATTTAAAATAAACCTGTTTGTTAGATTAGATTCGAAATTGATTAACAGATGGGGCTGCAAGCACAGTGAGCTTTATAGATAGCAGACCATACTGTACTTCTGCAATGTTTGATATCATCGAGAAATACTTCAGTTATAGAACCATTGCTCTGAATTATTCCCAAGTGACGAACATCGGTATAGATTGGGTTAGAAACTATAATTTATTGTTTGTAATTATTTAGAAGATGTTGTTGTTGTTGTTGTTTCTTATCCCACTTGGCTGGCCAAGCCCATGATGGAGCACCCGCACTTCTGTTGTGATGGAGCACCCGTAGGTAGAAGTCTGACTTTGGCTCCGTGACGCTCTTATAGTCATAGGAGACAGGGACCTGCGGCTTAAAGTGGATTCCGAACCACTACACACATCCATGGCACCGCCAGGATTCGAACCCGAAACCTGCGGCACCGAGCGCTGAGACACTCGGCCATTCAGGTCCCAAATTTGTGAATGTCAACGGCACGCGGTGTTCCCAGGTGGTCACCCGCCCAAGTACTGACCGCGCATAATGATGCTTGACTTCGGTGATCTAACGAGGTATATATATAAGGTATATTCAGCATGGTATGGCCGTTGCTAGGCCGTTCAGCATGGTATGGCCGTTCAGCATGGTATGGCCGTTTAGAAATTAATTAGCGTTAATAATTGCGTTATTTAGAAAATAAAATATAAATCAAGATATATTAGCTGTCATTTAGTGTTCAGCATATATGTCCAACTTTTCCAAATATGCAATCATAAATTCCTCTAAATTAGGGAAAACCCATCCTAATAAGTTTTCTTCCATACATCTGCATTATTTGCAGTTTACAAAACTTCTTAGAATTGACACGAATCCAATCCTTGAGACAGACATTGTCTGAGTTTTGTCCGAAACATTATTGACCTTATAATTAACTTAGTAAGCAATATATGGGTTCAAATTATTGCACTTAATCAAATATTCGGTTTGAATATAAGACTTTGCATCAAAGATGTGCAAGACTCAATTTTCGATATTTTATTCCAAGATTTACCCATAGTCTTCTACCTAAAGGTCATATAATACTGCTGTCTCAAATGCATTGAATAGAAATTGACAATATACTGAATTAAGTTAATTGGGCATGTGTCATATTATATGAATCCTTTTAACTGTCGATGATTAAACATTGCGGGTAGACTTTATCGGATTACAACTTTAAATCTTATTATAACTAATTGAAACTAATGACAGAATACCAGAGTAATAGGGGTTTACTTGACAATCTATCATGCAATAAATCCTGGCTTATAAATATCATCAAAATTTATATGATACATCATTTAAATTTTTTTATAAGCAATATCTTTAAATAATATATGAACATATTTATAAAATATATCATAATACATAAATAAATATGATATAGATGAATATATTTAGAAACTAACTCATTAAATATTAACAAGCCTTTCAGGTGTAGAATTTCTGTATTCTGATAAATCTCTTGAAATCTAGAATCCTGTACAACTAAGGAAATCGCCAAAATTTGGAATACGGAATGTTTCGCCAACATTATGAATGTATTAACGTTAATTTCATTGTTGTTTGCAGTAATTTCATTCTAATAAGTATGAACAGAAATAATATACCATAATAAATGTTATATCATTTTTAAATGATTATTCTTAATAATGTATCCTATAATTGTATGACTTATAATGACTATAATGGTACTATATTTTATAATGGTAAGGTAAATTTATATGACACATCGTTTAAAGTTTTTTTTTTTTATATAAAAATGTCTTTAAAAATATTTTATGAATATATTTATAAAATCAGAAATTAAATTATTAAATATTAACGAGCAATTCAGGTGTAAAATTTTTGTATTCGGATAAATCGGTTTGAAATCTAGAATCCTGTACCACTGAAGAAGTCGCCAAATTTGCAATCCCAGAATGTTTCGCCAATTTTATAACCGTATTAACGTTAATTTCACTGTTATTTGCAGTATTTTAATCCTAATAAATATAAACATAAAAATTTCTTTTTTAAATGATTATCCTAGGCAATGATACTTAATATAAACAATTATTATGGCGTTATCACTTATTAAAAGTAACAAACTTATTTTTACCTTAAATTTGATTATTAATTAATAAATAAATAATTTCATTATAATATTGTTAATACAGTTAAAGATTTCGTAGTAACTGCTATTGTAACCATATACGCACTGTAAGAGTGCCCCTTACGGAGTTCAAGAAATCGCCCAGTAGGCATCGAGACTCGCACCCTAGTAGATATAGAGGACGTACTGCGCAACTGGCGCTGCCATTGGTTACAACCTCTTATCCCGAGAGCTAGAAGTGGAATCCTTCCGCAAAATTTTAATTAGATGTCGTTAAATATGTCAATGTTGCGTGTTAAATGTCTATCTTTAAACGTGGTGTCTCAACTCAACTACACCCGGCTCCAGTTGTACAAACAACCGACGAACACTATATTATTTGAATTTACGCGGAAAACCGTTATTACAGAGCCAAATAAGACTTCTCACCCGCATCATTCCCAAACTGTAAGGGGGCAACTCAACTCAAAATGGCACAAATAGGCACAATTATGTGTCTTGTAGTGGTTTGGAATCCACGTTAAACTTTAGTTCCTGTCTAATTGGCCCAGAGTGTGCACAAAATGACCGTAAAGTGACAAACCAAATCCTAATGTATTTAACGAACTCTGAAGTGTGGTATATTTGGTTTTGTGCATTTTGTTGTACTTGTAATATTTATATCTATGGATTTTTATTGTTTGATGCATTTGAGTGCTAAATAATATTTAGAAAACTTTAAAAAAAACAGCTTTCATGCAAAAAATAATATATGAGTAAAGAAAATATTCTGATACGCAAAAATGATGTGTGTTATCTTGAATTCCAGGTTTAAAAAGAACCACATATTTTGATGCTCCGTAAAATTTCTCCCCTCCCAAAAAAATGTCGTCTTTTCTGAAACTTTGTATACAAATTTTTTTATCTACCTTCCTAACACAGATTTATTTAGTAAAGACGCGCTTTTCTTCTTGTTAATACCATCTTGCTTGGAAGTAAAGACATAAATTTTTATTCGAAGCATGATTCTTTTTTTTCTTTTTCGCCTTACTTTATTCCCATAAGGTGTCACTCCGATATCGTGTCAAACATTTCTCGGAACTAAAAGACCTCAATATGATAATGATATGCAAATCAAGGACGTCGACCTAAACGAATTCAGAAAGAGTATCATCGCACCGTCAGAAGAAAGGGGGAACAATTTGGATTAATTCTTTGAAAAATCCCGTGTAATCTCGCCTAATGCGTGTCACGTTCCTTATAGAACGTTACTTATTTAAGGAATTATTTGTCACTGATGTACGTGAGGAATCACATTTTTCATTGTAGGAGAATGACAGGCTCCTTGTTTGCGTTTTTCAACGAGTGACACTTTTGAATGTGATTGGAAAACTTATTATCTATTTTTAAGAGTTATTTTTTAAAGAAATTTTGCATAAATGAAATGAAAAAAAAATTAATACTTTCTCAAATTTCAACTTATCATGTGTGAATATATATTCACACATGATAAGTTGATGGACCGATACACAGGGAGTAAATCAACATTCAATAACCCAAGAAATTTATAAAGCAATTCGTCAGAATACTACAAGAAAAGATGAATTATTCACATTATAGAGAGCGGCTTGATGGCCAACTGGCTAGCGCTCTGGCCATTGATACTAAAGGCTTAAGGTTCCAATTCTGGCGGTGGCATTTAAGTTTGTGAGTGGTTCGGGATCGACGTTAAACTGTAGGTCACACAAAGACACAAGATGACCGTACAATGGTGCAGAGAATGGTACAGATGGTGCACAAGATGACCGTAGTGCGACAAATCAAACCAAATATTATAGAGTTGCGCTTGTTTATTTGGCAATTTTCCCTTTGCTGTTTTTAACAAGTTCCTTTCTAAACAAATGAAAGGCCGCTTCTGTTACAAAATACTGTGGTTATGGGAATTCCGTTAATCGTGCAGAAATGAAATCGGCGAAATAGAAACCCTAAAGTGCAGAATCCCCATAAGAACTATCAAATTCAATAGCCATGAGAATATACCAAAGTATACAAAGTCTAGAACTTTACGAAGAAACAATTGTTCAAACATTACAAAGTCCCTCTCTAATGAGTCCAAAGTGGCAGTAAAGCGACAAATCAAACCCTACTTTATCTAACGAATCTGCAGTGTGTTATATTTGTTTTGTACTTGTAATATTTATATCTGTTTTTCTTTAAATTTTGTTTTGATGTATTTGAGTGTAAAAGAGTATTTAGAAACTTTTTTTCTTTCAAGAAAAAAAAAACATGCATGCAAAATAATATATGAGGAAAGAAAATATTCCGATACGTAAAAATGATACGTGTTATCTTGAATTCCAGGTTTCAACGAAACAAATATTTTGACACTGAGTAAAATTTCTCCCTCCCAAAAATGTTGTCTGTTCTGAAACTTTGTATACAAATTTCTTTATCTACCTTCCAAACACAGATTTATTTAGTAAAGAAACATCTTTTTTTTTTTTTTTTGTTAATAGCATACTGCTTGGAACTAAAGAGATAAATTTTTATTCGAAGCATGATTTTTTTTTTTTCGCCTTACTTTATTCCTATAAGGTGTCACTCCGATATCAGTGTCAAACATTTCGCCGGAACTAAAAGACCTCAATATGCTAATGATATGCAGATCAGGGAAGACAAACTAAACGAATTCAGAAAGAGTATCATCGCGCCGTCAGAAGAAGGGGGAACAATTTGGATTAATTCTTTGAAAAATCCCGTGTAATCTCGCATAAGGTATGTCACGTTCCTTATAGAACGTTACTTATTTAAGGAATTATTTGTCACTGATGTACGTGAGGAATCACATTTTTCATTGTAGGAGAATGACAGGCTCCTTGTTTGCGTTTTCAACGAGTGACACTTTTGAATGTGATTGGAAAACTCATTATCTATTCGAAGAGGTATTTCTTAAAATAATTTTATAAAAACGAAATGAAAAAAAAAGTGAATTCTTTCACAAGTTTCAACTTATGATGTGTGGATATACGTTGATGGAAGGATACACAGGGAGTATACCAATGTTCAATTATCTTAATAAATTTAGCAAGGAATTGATCAGAATATTAAGGTAAGACGTGCATTTTATAGATTTCCGCTTGTTTATTTGGCGATTTTTTTTCCCTTATGGTTTTCGTCAACAAATGGCCGCTGCGGTTACACAATAGTGCTGTATTGGCGATTCCGTTTGCTGCGGAAAAGAGACTAGGCGAAATCGGAACTCTAAAGTACTGAATACCCACAAGAACTATCGAAGTGAACAACGAGAGGAATATAACAATATTTAATAACTCTAGAACTTTATGAGGAAGCAATTGTTCAAACACAAAAAGGTCCCTGTCTAATATGTCCAAAGTGTGCAAAAAATGACCATAGAGCAACACACCAAATCCTACTGTAACGAACTCTGAAGTGTGTTACATTTGGTTTTGTGCATTTTCTTACGCTTGTAATATTT